TATATATATATATAAACTAATTAAGCTAATATATTAATTAACAAACTTCATTTCCCATGTGAACTTTGTTCTACCCTTACTTTATTGTATGTAACAATTTTTAAGTAGGGAAGTGTCCGAAAGTAGACAGAAAGCTGGCAATACCATTATCGGTAAAGGATTAATTATGTATGAAGATCATACAAAGCTTATAAAGTTGCTAACAATGGGGCCTACCTACCTATCCTTATCATTATAATAACCGTGATACTGAATACTTTGTTTTATAATAAGCAAATAAGCTCTTCGTGAACCTCTCGAATGACGAGGTTCCTACAGGTGATCAGTAGGGGGCATTTAAAGCAATCCATAAAGCTTTAGAACATCTATACAGTCTAATTTGGAGCCTATTCAGAGTGTTGCTATGCGCTGATTCTATCTATTTTTTATTTTTCTAAACTGAAATCTTTCTTTTAGAATCGAATGAATTATATAATTTAGAGTAAAGCGGGCTAAATACAGTGGGTTGTCTTCTGTCGATTTCGATAGTCGCTAAAAAAAAAGCAGCGCAGCTCTTTGCTCTCCGATTTAGATTGTTATATGACTATGATTTTATTTTTAAAATTAAAAACAGAAAAACTGGCTGCTTATTTTATGGGACACCGCACGTTTTCATCTTATAGCTTTTCGAACATCAAGACAAACAACATTGTGGAAACACGATCGCATATCCAAACCGTACCCAAAAGAAAGGCGATGACAACCAAAGCTGAAATACCGTATACTTTTACGTTTCATACATTTCTCATAAGCCGTCATAGCAGTTTCAATATGACCGTTATTTTATAACACGATGTGTAGAATTCAACATTTTACAGCAAAAAAAACCTAATGTCTTCTTTCAATAAAGAAGGATCTTACGATGCCTACTTCGACAACAGAGACGTGTAAGACACAGAGGCCTTCGTGTCAAACGAGTAATTTACATGTACAAGCTGTTAGATGGATTTCGATACTACTATAACCTTGAGCTAAGTGCAAAGCCAATGAAAACTTCTCATTGCGCGACTTTTCACCGTAAAGGTACATGAGTAAGGCATTTATTGGTAACGACGACGGAAAATAGTGAGTAGCCAATCTTTTTTCGCTATTTAGTTGCGATCGCACTCCACGGCCGTCATTTTTTCTCAAAGCAAGGCATTAAGGCTGCATCAATTATAACGACAGATTAAAGGATTAGCACGGCGGTATGACCGCGTTCCGCTATACTCTGTAAATTTCTGTATAATGTTTGCATCGTTTTTACATTTTTCTTATAATTTAATGTTTTGACAAGCTGCCAAATGTGTTCCTCCATAAATCAAGTCACGGCTTCAGACAGAAAAGTAAATGACTGTCAAACTATTCGAACTTCTGTGAAAAAAGTTGCCTATCGTTGCCGGTGAGCATGGGTTACAATCGTAAGACAACTAACTCTTCTTCGAAGCGTCACAGGGGGAATACGCTTTGCTTGCAACAAACTTTCTGTATCATCGCGTCGATACAACAAAACTACGTCTACTATAAGTATGGCTGACAGCAAGTACGGGGTAGGCCCGCGTACGTTTACTAGCTAGATGTACGTAGTATACGGTGTTTAAGCGGCTTTCGTCACAGGTAAAACTAACCAACGCATGAATGTCTGAGTGCTATAAACGTGCCGTTTGCTCGAACATGAACTTTGACGGCACTGTTCAGACAATTAACGCTGGACGAAGCCGACGGCCTATTAATATTGTGAGCAACTATTTACTCCTGAGGAAGCTCGATAGAGTGCCGGATACAGGAAACCCGTAGGGGAGTTTCGATATCATACGCATTATAGAACGAATGAACAAATTACGTTTCTATTATACGTAATGCAATCAAACAAGGTAAACATACTAGTCGTTGCAAGGATATTGGTATGTATTTATGTGAGTACGTTATGACGTATAGGCTATCTACCTTTGTTTCAAACAAACTCTGTAGTGCATACCCATGATTGAGCACAGAACTTGGGCCCTATACTTCTATATATAATGCATTTAGGATAACACGTTCCTGATGGCAAAACGATTTCTTCAAATTACCATCAAATACGTAGCATAGCTCGTTTCAAAATACAGAAACATAACCATCTTTAACGTTGTCCCTGTTTGCGTTCTGGCCGAATACTTGCATCGTTCTTCATTAACTGCATCGTACGAGTGGCGAATTGTGCAAAGCCGCGGTAGCTCGAAATACTGGATGCAATTTGTACGACGTACTATACGTTATAATATAGATCAGATAATAATGACACGACAGATGTATGCGCTCCCAGATAGTACTCTACCTTCTGTTCTCGGTATCTTCCGCCGGCCAATAACGTATCGTTCTTTGACAAGCGGTCGTCATCGTTCCTCTTCTATAGTGCGACATGCTGATGCTACTCGGCACCTCCCAAAAAGAGGGTAATCCAAATTTTGTCTGACGCTGCATGAAGAATCGGGTAAGCGACTGCCCGTTCACCATCGTAGACGTCAAGACATACGTGGACGGGGTCAAAATATAAAGCTTCATATCGCTGGCCGGCTTCAGTCTTTTTCAATCGTCAAGTGGATAGAGCGATAACAAAGAACATGAAGATTGCAGGAATCGCACAACGACAATGTCACGAACAGGACAAGCAGGGTCGGTAGGGAAAATCGAACTTCGATGCCGATTATTATTTTTATTTTATTACTTCTTGAGAAGGCCACCATTCCATATTGTGTACATGAATGGCGTAGTGAACCGCATCAGGAATAATACAGCTTATGTAATAAGTAAAGTATGACATTTAGTCGAAGCCTGGAAGAGGCAGTAGTTACTACGACAGCACATAGTAATGCAACGCTTTAGAGCAGGGCAGCACGCTGCCATAGGCACTCATGTGCTGAACTGTATCGCGGATCATTGTGCGGCGTGAAGTGGTCTAGCTTAGTTTTTTTCACAACAAAATATCTCCTCATCAAATGTCTCGCATTCTCCTACATTGTTTCATGAATCCAGTGTTGACACAAGTAGGTTAAACTAACGTTTTCATCAGTTCCTCGTGGCTCATTCTTTCGTTTGCAACCTTCCTCTTTAATCTTATTTTTTCGGATTTTCCAGTACCTCTGCTCTCTGTCTGTACGTACATGTGGGACTTCGATGTGAGATCATGAACGCACGACTAGAGAGTTGGGCATATATCAGTGCGTCTATTTAGTGAATCCATATACGCCCAGGCACAAACATAGAGTAAGACGTTTTAAGGAATTTTCTCTTTCACCCTACTATTTATTCACGGTGTAACTCAGTGGTCTCTAATGTGCGGCAGTCGATTCCACCGTAATAGATATCTACCTCGAGCTTCGTTGTGATCTACTAAACATTTGTGTGTTTAGGAGTCACTTCGTTTATAGACACGGCGACGTGGAAGCTGACGAACCAAACAGACTACCGACAATAGCCTTGGGGACGTTAGAATTCTGGCAAGGATAGAGCCAGACAAACCGATACCAGCGTTAGAGAAAGATGCAACGAAGACGTCAGATAGGAAGCTCACAGGCGGGTCTGTTGAGACAAAGGAAGTCCTAAAGCAGGGAAAGAAGTCGAATGCAGTTTATCTTCAGAGTAAGCCTAATAAACGAGGTAGTTAATCGAAAGGGAAAAAGATCGGTCCGGAACAACGGGCAAAATAGGAAGACAAAAATGAAAGGCAAGAAGACAGCGAAAACGCGTGACGGTCCCAGCGGAAACAAGCAGCGGATTTTCACAAAGGATTCTACTATTCAGGTGAGAGTCCTTTAAAAAAAGAAGCTTAGTACTTTTTGCGAATTGGGTACCAACACGCAAAAGCAGTTAGAAATAGGACAGTCCAATTTTTCAGGAGGCGTTTCCACTTACGATTCCTTTAGGTCCTTTTTGTCTAGTACAAATACTGATGTATCAAATAGGTTGAGCCTGACAATGTGCTGACCAGTTAGCGCATGTATTCTACTGGTCATACAGAAGAATTGGTAGAGCAAAGGCAATCTATTTGGACAACCAATTTTACTATTGGGAACAGCGTGGCTGTAGAAGAAGGTGCTGTCGACCTTCTGTGGAGCTTTAGGTAAAATGCACGCGTAAATTCTCGAAATCTTATAAGGGTTCCTGAAACAAAATAGCCATGATTAGACGGGTCGGTTTCAGTTTTAGCGTTAAATAGGTTTATTCCTGAATAAGCTGTCATAGCTCAAATCGAAGTACTTTCTGCTTTTCATATGCCTACATACTCTAGCGCCGTACTTATATAATGTATATCTCTCTACACTAAATACATTTTGCACACAATAAGATGTTTACTAAAGAACATAGCTTCAGAGTTCTTTAAAGTTGAGACTTGAAAGGTTGATTAAATAGCCATAAATTAGAATGTGTTATATGTACATACAAAGACACGTCTATCGACATCTGTTTGCATCATCCATATATATATATATATATATATACACGGAAATTTTTCCCGTATTCTACAGACGCCCCGGTGACGTCATGCAGATAGATCATATCCCGAAATAGCAAAAAGCGACATAATGTTAGAGAAAAACAGAATATGAACGTTTGTCTTCTGTTACATTTACGTACGTATCTATATATCCTTATATAGCTCTCTCAGCTCTTTTGCGCCGTTTTTTGTGAGTCTTTCTTTCTTTTTGTGAGTTCTTCACCTCGATTCTTGTGAGCGAATCGTGAGCTCCAAAGACTAATCCAAGCGACACACCACGACGATGATAAGATGCTTGTTGTTTTAAACACGAACTTGTTTGACTCCAATATATTGAATCTGCAAAATTTGCTTTTCTGCTGGCTGCGGCCAGAATCCACCAAATTCGGTGGTGCTCCATCTCTATGTAGATCTTCAATGATTGGCGTGACACGCTTAGAACTTCCAATTGGTCTGAATGAGAGAACAATGAATGAGGGTACAACGAGCACTTTTTGTCTATTCACTTTCGTTCATAGCCGTTTTAGCTATATGTAGCATTGTAAGTATAGTAGAACTGGTGTACCATTGAATAAAATAGGTCTATTTATTAATATTATGCTACAATTATAGCATTGTTATACAGTTACAAGACTTTTGTGGTGTAAAAAAGATTTGTTTTGTGCATTAAAAATCATTTGGTAGTGTTCTTCTTATATTTTGACTAACATACGTTTAGAAAATACTTTTCATATATATTCATATATATATATATATATATATATATATATATATATATATATATATATAAATATTCAGAAAATTAGAAAACATATTTAAGACCTTAGCAAAGACTCACTTGTGTAATGTCAGTCGAGTCCGTATGCGCGTCGACGGTTTATTTTTTTATGTGAAAACACATACTCATATATTAAAATGTGTTACGGTTGAATTGCGATAATTCAACCTACCGATAGATGATCGCTAAACTTCTCCTCTAGGGCTACATTTTTCATGTAGCAAACTTTTTCGTAGACAATAATTTTGTAACTTGTTATTTTCATTGTATCAGTAGTTAGATGCCTGACGATTGATTCAATGTGCATTATGTATAATTATTATAATTTCGTTATCAATTACCCCCAATTTTTTGCTGATATATATTCTGTTTTCAAAATCGAAACCTACATCAAGAAGCATGCTTCACTTTATTTCCGTCGAAGAGTTTCTGTCGAAGACTTATACGTTACTGTGACGTCCTCAGTGAATTTATAAGTGGCTGTATTGGATTATGTGGTTTCATACATTAATTCATTTGATGTTTGACATCCTTACGTCAGGCATAACACCGAACGAGGTCGTTTTGATGTTAGGATACATTTTGTTAACAAAGTTATAGAAAAACAATTCTTCCCTTGAACATCTACCGCTGTCACATTAAACTCAGTTTCAGAGTAATCATTTGCCCGAACATAAGACTCTCAGATGTCTGCTTTTAGGTAAGGAGCATACAGCGCTTAACCCAATAGACGATGCTGTGCGCTTACGCCACACGTAACAGTCGTTTTCAATAGAAATATTACAACTTTTACAACACTGCGTTCCCCCATGTTGTTTTTCCTTTCATAGCAGGAAATGATAGCTACGAGCGAGACGTATTCACTAGGTTACTGATATGGTAAAGTTGTTTAGCCAACAGCTTCCACTATTGGTTGATTCCATCAAACAGAAGATCTTTACGTCATGCTATCTTTCCAGCATTGGTTACGCCAGTTTTTAGCCCAGCTATCAACCAATCATTATAGTACAACATTGTACCAAGGCGGTCAACCAAAATGGCACTCTAATTTAAATTAAGTTAAAAAAAACAGCCGTTCGAGGAGCGCGTATGAGAACACTATAATCTAGACCAGTAGCACCGACATAAATCCCAATACCGTCTTAATTTCTAAACATCGAAATGATATAATTGGGCTTGCTAATGGCATGTGGCAGTAGCTGCTGCAAGAAAACAAGTACCCCGACCACCTCTGGTTCAAATCTTGGCGCCGGCGTATTATAATCAAAGATTTAAGAATAGGAAAAAAGGAAAGGCTAATAACTACAGAAGCCGCTGATGTGATTACCCTGCCGCCGGTTGAAGTAATAGCAGACAGAAACGATAAGACCCTATCTAGTATTTTTTGAAGCAAAACCGAGTGGTTTTGCTTCAAAGGGAGGCCTCCGAGAATCAGTTTGAAGTATAACTTAACATATAAATAAATGAAATACCAAACAGACAGCTGTAAATACGTGAGTAATTAACCAGCTGTTTACGAAATTAGAATACGAGATTTTTGACTTAGCATAAGCATATGGCACGGTATTTTGCGTTAGCTGAAACAAAGGGCTTCGTCTAGAAGCAAAACATACACATATGCAGAAAAGAGGTTTGTATTAGGGGAAGAAGATCGCTGATAAAATACCACAAAAACGAAAGAACGCGTGGTCGCTCTTTAGGAAGTCACCAGCGAACTGATTGGGCATGGACTTTGAAAAAACATTTGATATGAACCCTAAATTTAAAAGCGTCTATCAGTGAGAGCTCTGAATAGAGCTGCGCTATATGTGAGAACCTCTTGTCCTCTATAACTTCGGAGTGTATACAAATAACGCACCGTACAGTCAATACAATTGATTCTGTATAAGGTCCAAGTTAGTTTATTTCAAAAGTAGACCTTCTTTGTGACGCGGAGATTGTAATGCTAAGTGCAATTTTTCCAATATTTAATTTTATTGGTATAATTATACTTTCTTCACGCCAGCCTCAAAAACGTCAATCTGCTGTTGTTTTCTTTGTGTCAGCTTGTAGTAGCTAAATAAAGGGGACAAATGAGCTGGAATAATCCATCAGTCAACGATCCGCATCGAGAAGAGCGACGTCTCATGTTTTGGCTACAACGATCTTTGCAAGGACTCCAGATTCTGTGGTTAACTTTCTTGCTTCTAGCACAGAAATCAAAAAGAGTAAACTTGTTATAGTACGTTCAACTTGATCATAAACTGGATACGGCTTAATAATGTCTCGGATGTAAGAGAAGCAGCCACCAACGTAGATCCCGGTTAACTATCGTGACAATGTTTGCTTATAACGGTTTTTGGTCCTGTTTATACCCTAGTTTTCTGAACTTTTGAAGCATTACCATAGTAAACCATGGCTCACAGCTAATATGGTTAGAAACATAGCTCTAATAGGAATTTTGGTCGCCAGCTTTTCTCTTACTACCTAAGAGCTGGCTTTTTCTATTCTAAATAGTAACCAGTTCGCGGGTGAAGCCCATATAAATTTTCATCTACGGGGTATACTGCTTCACAACTAGTCTTGACTTTGATAAAATAGTTTCACTATATATCTTGGCAACAACTTACAATTAAAAGTAACCAATTATGAAACAGTGTTAATCCTTTAGACTATTTTGTTGCGATATACTTTTTCTATTAATATTATCCATATATTAGGGTGAACGACCATGTATTCTACACTATCATACTATCAATTTGGAACCATCTATTTTACACACAGTTCTTTTGATTCCAGCCGAAGCGTATCGACGGATACGATTTATTCCTAGCTTTCCTCGTACCAATGATCCTGTCGATGAGGAAATTCATCAAAGGAGACGACTGATCATCGCGATGTGCAACAACGGCGATGACCATGATTCAACAGAGGCCCTATCTTCCCCCACAACAGAATGACTTATATCTTTATGTGACACTCTACTAATCAAATTCTACATGGGAGTCGACAAAACTCATGCGTGAGGAAGCTCATTTTTACTATGATTTTCTACCTAAAAGGTAAGATTTCGTTTTCGTCACTAAGTCGTTTATCGGATTTAAGGCATAACTCACACAGACTTTACTATATCGCTATTTTGGCTTGACAAAAATTTGCTAACGCATAAGATACCTGTACCCCACAAATACAACAGTTAGATGAAAACAAGAGGGTTATTAAAGAGAATCAAGATATATGTAAATAAATCATCGTCTTTATAAAATGATTGAAGTATCGTAACGTGCGCAATGAAATAACGTATCTCACACGTATAGGTTAAAATTGTATCTATTGAAGGGTATCTTTAGAAATCTAGACTTTAACAAGAACACCTTCGAAGCGAGCTATATTATCATGCGAACAATGTGCCATTCTCCAATCTGACTAGCCGCTACATAACAGGAAACCAGGAATGATAGAGCTGATTTATAATAATCCCGCCTGTGAAAAAACGATTTACGTGCCCGACGCCAAACGATCACTTCTAAAATAATGTATTCATCTCGTCGAAGGAAAGCAATTTATATCTGGAACTCTTTGGACTTCATCTATGTTGTATCCATATTAGACCAATTACCGAGTCCGTTATCAAGTGAGCCTTATGTAAACATAACACGCACGCTTTTCACGAATGATGCCTGCAGACACGATGCAGACTCAAAAATAAAGTACGCTTTTGTGCATCGGCACCGTTGTTTTCTGCCTATTACTCTGCACATATAAGATCTCGAATTGGGCAAATATAATTATTGGATCTGCCGCATAGGGAAAAAATAGCGTTTTCGTTTGGGGAGATAACCGTAATCGAGCTAGATTGGCTCTCGAAATATAGCATTTTTACAAAGACACGATGAATATTTCGAGCTTTTCGTTCATGCTGCCGTTTAGCGTTACTTTAGACGGCTGGCTATCAGCATGAAACAGGGCGTGTCTACGCTATTTAGAGAACTGCAGAATGTACCACGCCTAACCTTAAACACATCGTTCAAGAAATTAAAAAACAATTAGGTTAGGTAACGATCATATGCAGGCTTATTTGTTAGCCGGCAAATTGCAGATTTGTACATGTTTGGCGCTTACAAATGCTGCCATATGACAAAATTTGGCATTCAGCGATTTATTCAACGCATAGAACGTCCATCTTCTAGAGTGCATCAGTTCGTCTACCATAATTAACGCATAGGAACTATTAACTTACTCAAAATTAAAAAAACAATCGAAAAATGTAATTTGACCTAGTTACCTTACGATATAAGTGGCATAACACAATGTTGGCCGCCATTCTTAGCATAAAAGAAAAAGTAATTTTTTGCGGTGATACCGAACCTTCAGTGTGACTGACTCTCATAAAATCCAAGTGCAGTTTTTCCCACCCATATAAGTTTATTTTCCCATTTCTAATAAACTTTAGAAAAGGGTAATTGTTACTAGAGAAAATACAGTGCTGCTCTATATTTGTTTGCCTAAATTTTTATTATTAATATTACATTAAATTATTGCTGCGATGTATTCGTCGCTACGTAACAGGCTACTGCTGCTTTAACCTCAGATATAGTGCCAGACTCTGGACCTTTTTATTACCCACGTACTTTAGGTTCGCGAATGTATATGATATTTTTGAACCCAATATGCATTTTTGTATTGTTTATGTCCATTGTCTCGACTATATTCAGTTCCTGCGCTCCTAGGACTGCAGCGTTGATACACATATTCTACTTACAACAGCAACATTACGAGCTTCAATACTCCGGCACTGGGTATTTCCACCTTGCCAGGTATTCTCAATTCCCAGTATAGTAGTAAAAAAAGAAGGGTACCGCAACGGCACAGCTGACCCATTGGGCACCAAAATTCGTATAGCAAGTACGAAGTCATAACATCTATGTGATTTTCGTATCGGTTGAGCACAGATCGGGGAAGCCCATCTTTCAGTCAGGGAAAAACGCTAATCTTCAGGAGAAATCCCTAAATGATGATCCGCACTGGTTCGTGACTTATACGGAACACCCGTACTTCCGTTCCGCCAGAACGCCTTGTCCTAGTTAGATTTTTCACCGCCTGCTAAGCACGTTACGTACGCTACAGTCGGTACTTGAGACACTAGCAAATTTCTTTCGGTCAGTCTCTCACAGTAAATACATAATGAAGCCGCTCGGAAACATTATAGAGTCGTCTTTGGAGCTGAAAGAAAAAAAATTATACAGTTATGCCAGTCGTACCGTTATAATATTCTGGTTCTTACATACAATTATGTTTAGCCCATACGTGGACACTCAGTAACCAAATCGATAGCTCTACATATACTGAAACGTCAAGAACTTCAATAAATGAAACAATAATGTAATTCTTATTTAACAGCTTTGATCAGGCATCTTACCGGTATCTCAGTAGGGTAAACAGATCTTTTGCATACAGCAACAGCCATCCCCTGTCGAAATATCAATGTTTGTTATGCATGCTTCGAAGAGTGTAACATGCGTGATTTAAGACGAGGACTACGTGATACCGCGTTGCACGTCCGGTGCATGGGCGGCATGCAGTGGCGAAACGTCTTTGCTTAAACATTTTGTCCCTCCGAAAATGGACAGAATACTTCAGCTTGTAAACTTTTGCTAGCCAGGCTCTTCTGGTAAACCTCTCTTTCGTAACCTGCGCTAGGACTTTGCGGTTGGGTGGATCGTCGGACTTACATGTCTGCTTGCACCTGATTCTATATATTGGATTATACGGCAACTAATGCCAGTAGATTGGTATCTACAGGCTAGCGCTGTTTATGGGAATTACCATCTTGACCTTAACCTGTATATGGCATAGATATACGTATTTTTACAATCAAATATTCATAACTTTTCACATTAGATCGAAAATACCATCTACCATGACATTGGTCGTATATGTATAGGCAGATACAGAATATCCTATAGTAAGTTCGCGTAGGCCGATAATACACTTATCTCAGCAAAAGATTCAGCAGAGCATAGTCAATGGAGTCAGTGTCTATAAAAATAGAAAACGCTATCTTTAAGAAATTTGAAATTTACTTAGTAATCGGATTGCAGAGCTATGTACAAAGTACGTAGAGGAAAAGTGCGTTATAGTACAAGTTTACCGCTAAATCCACACACGATCTGATTATGGTGTACTTTGCAAGATTACCAATGGCAACACTAATTATTATGAAACAGTAAAAATTTAATTGCTTTGTATGTTTTTACAGACGACACAGGGCGGCCCAGTGATGTCAATGGAAAAAACGAAGTTGATTTTTGAATTGAGTAGGAACTCAGAAACGGAGTTACTTGTAATGTAACATTATTTATGCCAACTGCCTCTGAGAGGGTAGCTACCATAAAATTTCAAAATGTATCCATTCATGCGATACTCCCGGTATCCCGTTTCTTAGCGCCTAACTAGTGCGCGTATAAGAGTGCGCACCCTCTGTTGTAAATACAGACTCAACTTTGGGAATTTCCATTAATTCTCTCAAAAATATAAGCTCTGCGTTAACGTAAGAGTCCTATCACAATACACTGAAACTTTTCAAACCCATTTGTTAATACCTTTTTAACCCATGAATCACGTGTCATCTCGTGTATTGCATGTCTGATCTACCTTCTGGAGATTTAATTAGACTTTCTTGAAATTTGGCTGAAGACCACAGAATAAAAGCAAAGTAGAGTCACAATTCAAGTCATCGTACATCTGTAGGCAATGGACTGTAATAGGCAATGATTCCTTAGTTTAATGAGATTATAAAGCTTATTATAATTAACTTTGTATCGCTTCCTGGCGTTCCTAAGGTTTAATAGTTAATATTTTTTTTATTGACGTACAGATCTTGCTCTTCATTCATTGTGCAACGCGATTATGTAAATCTGAAGATTACGCACTAACAACTGTCGTGTCTCTAGAAAAATAAGGCAGTGATACTGTCTTTGCCCACGTACCAAAAAATAAAATAAAAAATTATCAAACTTGATAGTAATAAAGATGTGGAAAATTCTTGCTTACTCACCCTGAGCGATTTTGCTCTCAGTTCAATAAAATCTGAAGTAACTATTAAATAAAATTGAAGCTATCTTATAGGAATTTATTATCACTAGCATTTTTCAGGAATGCTGATTTCATTCATTCAAAAGTATCATACAAAACGGTTCGATTTTTCGACCAAAACAAACAAACGGTTCGACAAACCACCGGTTGTTTTATTGGTACTTAGTTTTATGCTGTAAGTATTATTCAAATCAGGACACGTCTATCTATAGGTTAGTGTGTTATTACGATTTCCTTGAATATAAATACACGCTAAAACGTGGAACTTCAAGACCAACAGAAGCGTAAAATTGATCTGAAACAATTGGGCTGACCTTAGCCAAACTTTGGTGCTAATCAGAGTTTAGCCGTTTAAATTCATCAAAAATATTAGGAGAAACATCCTTGCGTATTGTTATTATACCAGTTATCTTTCTGGGCAAAACATCCAGATCCGCACTATGTAAAAACATAGTTCTAATTAAAAACACATAAAGTAAAAAGGTAACTTCTCCTTGTTACCAAAAATCCTTACATGAATGAGTCAGTCGTCAACTTATTTTTTTGCCGATTTTTGCAAATGCAATTCTACAACGAAACGTAGCGAATTATATTCTCCGATTGTTCAAAAGTTTTCGAGTAGATCTTCAAATGGGACAATAAGAAGTTTAGCTTTCTTTTGCTTTTCGTTGTTTTGTAAACAGCTTCCTCTCAAAATATAGATGTACATAAGCGTCAACAACGACAGACGTTCTCAAATACGGTGTCATCATCAACGATTTTAAACTCAGATTTTGCCTGATGAATACTAGCAGGCTCAAAGAATCGCTAAAAATATTAATACGTCTTGATTATCTTTATCCCGCACAGAAATCGGATCTTCGGAATCTTTCAAATCAGATCACACAAAAAAGCTAACCAACTATAGAAAAAAAGCAAACCCAATTTGTAACAGCTCGGCTTGCTCCGCCGAAAGACCATCACATCGTAAGCCACTTGTGTACCTTGACAGGGTGTCACAGCCGACCTAATCGGTAGGGTGATTAATTGACTACGAACTAACAACATAGGCAATGAGGAGAATCGCAGGCAGCGTTCCGCCGAAATATAGGCCCTGCTTAAGGCCGTCACCTGTCTGACCGTATCTGTTAGCGTTCCTTTAAGCCTTGTGCCCAAGCGGTTTTTTTCCAGAGAACATGGTTTGTTTGTCTGTTTGTTTAAAGTAGGTGTCATCAGTATCCCTTTAATTCTAGTTAGAAGAATGAATTGTCTGAGACTACGTTTGAGCGCACCGAAAATTTTGCTAAAGCGTCTACCTAACGAATTTTCGAATATTCGAAATTTCGACTTAAATAATGTATTAGTATGAGCTAAAAGCCCGCCTTAGAATTTATCTAATAACGCGCATAGTAAGCCACAATCGGTGATGATTATAACAAGCCACGCGTGAAGCGATATCTGCGTTCTAATAGGTATTTACATAAGTAACGAAACGCCAATTGGCGATATCTTCTATTTAGATAGTAATTGAATATATACATAATTACTATGCAGTAAACTTGACCCATTTTCGAGTCAGACCCAAAAACTACCGCACCGACAGCAAAATTCAAAGTTCTTTGAGCTGCATAGAAGCCTTTAGCGAAGTCATATGCTATTTAGACATTATAACAATAAGCTTAGAGTGTTTTGGTCGTATCGCGAGTGATTTAAGTTTGGCGCACAATGACCACTGACCTGCGGAACTTATTAGTAGCTGAAAACAGAGCCTTTTCTCATAACAGGCACGGGAAACGACAGCAGCTCTTACCCAAATTATAGCAGAGATCTCACTCAGATGTGTGCTATCTGGTCACGAAACTTCAATGTCTTTGTTGACGTACTGCGTATTAGCGAAGGGCCTAATATAATGCCATAATTTAACGCAGTGTTGTCAGTTTTAAAGATATGTGAAAGTAAGTAAATTTTCGCGTAGGCAGGAGTGAAAACAGCACGTTGCATGCACGAGAGGAGGCTAAAAATAGGCGTGAAGTAAGCTACGTCGTTTTATCGGGTACCTATTGATGAAGTGACTTAAACTTATGGCATCAGTTATAAATCTGACAGACTTGAGGCAAGATATCTAATATATTCTATATAGAAGTCACAATACCTGATATAGACTATGCAAGATGTCGAAACTCAAAATAATAATTGCAACATAAAAATGCAATGAGTAGGTAATAATATACCCTGTTACGATTAGTGTTAGCGCTGTGAAGTTAGCGATCACAGTATGATAGTACAGATTTTCTATTAGAAAAAGTCTCAACCTAGCTATTGAATTTGCCTGTTGATATCTTAAATCCGTTCAATATAAAAAAAACCACAGACGAAAAATCCGTTTTCTAAATCGGCTTTCAGGTTGTGATGATCGATGCAGGCCAACGAACCACTATAAAAACAAATTCACTTATATCTATTGTTGTTATTATTACTATTATTGTTTTTACAGCAGTCGTTCATTTAGCAGGCTTAGAATAAATAAATAAAATGTGTGTTATTAACATAAGAATTATGATTTTGAAATTATTTCACGCCACGAAAATCAGTGAATCGAAAAGGACTTTTGATTTTGCCTAACAATCCATTGTTAGCTTGTCCTGACAACAGATTATTTTATACACTTTACATTATATTGCGGCACAGAGACTACGAGACTGAAGTTCTAGTATCCGCTGCATGTCCCAACTAAGCTAGTTAGCATGCGCAAACCTCCTCCTTGTTTATATGTTGATTCGCATAGAAGCCAGCCTTTCTTACCCAGTCGACCTCATCGCGCGTTAGGCATGTCAGAGCGTAGTTAATGAAGCTCTGCTGGCCCGAGCTTTCCGATGACAGCAGCTGAGAACGCACGGTTAGATCAGACAGTCAAGGGATGAAAATAGGTCACTCGACTTGCCCACTGATGCCCACTTGTGAAAGAGGCCCGTAAATGTGCAAAGGTAATGAAGATAACTTCCCCAGTGAAAATACCTACCAATGGACTTACTTACGTATCATTTGAGTGCTTCACTTGGGTCTCGCAATGGCTGAAATCATACGAAAACTCGTAGAAATCAATAATCATTGAAACTCGGTTACAGCAAAGTGGGTTTCTATGTGAATGACAATCAGTCTTTGTCAAACCAGCTAATGATAAAGCGGTAACCAGCGCAGTGCACAAAGCCAGCTAAGTAAATAAAAATAAGATACAAAATGTACATATGTACAATACACTATCGCTCACTACTATCTCACAGTCTTTATGTGTTACAATGTAATAATAAAAAAAAAAAAACGAAGTGGTGCCTCCATTATTATCGTCATATTGTTCTAACTAACTTTATTCTAATAATCAAACTAGTTTTGGCACTTTGAACTCTTGGGGGGCGTGCCCGCGAAAGGCTATATCAAAAGGACCTTAAAGGATTAGAGTGCCTAAATCTGAATACATCATGGCGTTATAGCTGAAACCTTAATAAGAGAGAGGAGTACGTTTTTGCGTAGTTCGGCTACCTAAAGAGCCCAAGTACGTGAAAAGCCCTAGTACTCTGTCTTGATTCTGGTAAAATGCCTAGGACTAATGTGAATCGATCATGATTCAAATTGAGTTTTGTCAGACGTCTTAAGACTTTGGTTCAGCATGGATAATAATCTCGTAAGGGTACGTACGAAATAGGATGGTGCCTGCTTCTGACAGGTAAAGCTCGATTTTATTTATTTCCGTTTCAGGTACTGTCTGGATTAAATCACCACATAAGCACATATTATATAATTTAAGGGAACGAAAAAAGGGTGTACCATGGTTTCTAGCATACACGTATCTCTTCTGGTCCTCTAAATGGAAATAATTAATTTAGCTTTGTCACTTACAACTAAAGTAACCACGGTCCATGAGTTGCTTTTTAGATTAAGACCATGAGTGTACTTCAGGAGTGAAGGTAGCATTTTAAACTGTGTCCCTTTTTACCTTGACGTGCACACGAGTGTATACACGAATATTATATCGGCTAATAGATAATTCTGTTAGTTGTATCAGCAAAATTCTGTCCTGTATTTTTCTTACGTCACACTTCCTGTTGATAAAAACAATTACATGTTATATACTATTGCCATACACTAGAATAGACTAATATTATTTAACAACAAGATACGCTGACATTTATAAAGCAATATTTTAAAAGCATCATAAAAATATTGGATATTTGATAATTCGCATCGTATCCTACGTACCAAAACCACGCCTCTTCACGAGACTTTACATGAATAGGGCTTCCATAGGAAAGATAAGGTTAGTAGGACAAAGATTGATTTTTCATTCTAAACGTATCTAAAACATAAAAAAGACTGTGGAAATGCCTGAGCAGCGTTTCGTTTTCCTTATTCTCAAAACACTAAGCTGGGGAACGTACTCAGTTCGAGGCACAGCGTGTGTGTTAATTGAACAGACTGCTGGTGTCCACGATATCACAGCAGATCATTATTATCTCGATCCTCCGAAACAAAACAATTTTAATAATCCTGGAAACGTCACTTGTTTGTTATCTTTGCTAGTAATCGAACAAAACGCAAATTTAGCTACTTATATTGTAAAGCTCTGTCCTTTTTTCAGGACTCGTTTTTTAAGAATTTACCTAATTAATTTAGAAATCCAGTGCAAATTACATATGAAATATAGTGATTTTGCCTTTAAAAAACCACACGTAGTATTGGCAAAGTGTATCATTGACTAATTACGCTTTCTGAACTTCATTGCTATAGTAACAAATACACCTCGTGGAGAACTACTTCTCTACCTGTATTTTCTCGTTGCACTGGGTTGTTCCTCGCGGTACCCATATGGACCAACGAAACGTTATCAACCCTTATAATACCTGGCGGAACATGTTCTGAACGTTGTCTCAAGACATAGTTTTCCTTGATTAAGCCAATATCGTCAGTTATGCACATTTCCGTATATATATATATATATACATATATATATACGCGCGC